GAGACGCGGCTTCGGCATTCCTCTAGAATGTTGGCGAGGGAAGGGGAAGAGAGGTTGGTGCAGTATTGCAGAGTTTGGTTTGTGTGAGTTGATTAACCGGACGAAGGCGATTGCAACCGCTTCGGTGTGTGTTCTGTTTATTGCTTTAAAACGGAAGAACGTAGAAACATACGTGGAAAAGAAAGAGAAGGGTGGGTGAGAGATTTGACGGTGTGTGATTGAAGCGTGCGTGGGTGTCAGATAGACTCACACGTACACAGCGCCACAAACTGATGTGTATTGTGTTATATGGAAATGGAAATCGATGCGGAAGCGTGGCGCGGTGCGGTGCTTTTCGGATAAAGAAACAATCTGAGGTGGCGTGGCGTCGAATCCACTTTTACTCGCTATATTAATTAATATCTATAATTAATAACAAAAAATATATAGAATTTCGTTTTGTCTTTTTATAAATAATTATATTTGTATTCTAATTTTTTTCAAGAGAAAATACAAAAAATGCATATATAAAAAAGAATAACTACTTTTTTTAAAAAATAATACCCCTGACCACTTTTTTTAAAAAAAAAAAATTTTCGCCCGTTTTTCATTCTTAGTTATTATTATAGTGACATGGTGAATGGGACATTTGCATCGCCATACACGACAGATAGGAGAATCGCTTGGCTTAGCTTGGCAGAACAGGAAAGAAGACAATAACATTATTACCGATTTTGTTTCTGGTGGATTCACGAGGAGGAATCTTTCTTTTCTTTCCTAAGTTTAGAAAAATTATTCATTGAAGTATCAATCTCTTAAATGCGAGTTGTAATTATTGAAATTTACTAATAAAAAATACTTTAAAGATTAATTAAGATAGAATAATATTTAAAGAGATAAGGTAATAATTTATTCTCAATTTAATTGATTACGGATTGAAATAATTATCGACTTAACTATACTAGACTAGCAACATCTTTTTTTTTCTTCTTCTTTTCAATGTTTCTTAATTATATAGGATCATATTTAATAATATTATTAAAATTTTGAATTCAACAAGGAGATGTATAAAGTGAGAAAGTAAAAGTTATTAAAAATTAATTTAAAGTTAATTAATATTGGGATGTGTTTTAATTAAAATAAAGTACGTATTGCTCTTTTTTTTCTTCTTCTAAATTATTTATTCAGGAAAATTAAATCTTAAATATTTAATTTACTAATTTACATTTTAATTAGTGTATTATACAAAATAAATAGTTATTTTATATAATTATATTTTATAATAAATAAATTATATATTATAATTAAATTAAAATTTATAATAAATAAACATATTTTAGTATATAAATTATGCTTTGAATTTATAACCAACTATTTAAACGATTATATAAGACTGTGTTAAATTACTAATGTAACACTTTATATTTTTGATAATTATTTTATCAATTATTATGAGTTGTTGAAAATTTTTGGAGTTTATGAAATTTTTGAAGAATTTTTGGGTATTTATCGATAATTGTGTATTGATAGAGATTGTTATATTTTATTAAATTTAAACTTAAATATTATATCTGGATTTTTATATTTACTTTAAATATTAAAATTTATTTTAATTTTTAATGTTATTTAAAATAATTTATTAATTGTTATTATTTTTATGAATACTAATTTGATTACCATTTTTTTTTAGGTTCGTTCATCCACCGACAGCAGGCACTTCAAAGGGTGGGATAGCTGGTCCCAAGATTTAACGCGCTGCATACACAAGGCAGGATTCGAACCCCTGACCTTGCTTAAGCGTGGATCAACTCCTACCGCTGAACCACACGCTTGGGGTTAATTTGATTAACATTTAATCATCATTGTACCATTAAATCGTGAATTAGTATTTTCACCAATTCAATGAGTCTATTTTTAAAATATTACTTTTTGGTAACAGTATTAATCTCCATTTTTATATGGATAATTTTGTTTTTTTTTTATTTTACTTAAAAATCTAACAACTCTTTTCTCTTCCAACATTTTTTTCATCTCGCTTACCTTCTTTAAATAACTGCCCACTTCATAATTTTTTTTTGTCAAAACAGAGACGTCTCTTTTCTACTAGTTTATAATTAAAAAGTTTTACACTTGTCAATTAGTATAGGAAAAATTGTAACTTGATCATGAAATATTCTTAGTATTTATGACTTATTCTTTGTAACAATTTTTTTTTGTTGACAATTTTAACACAACTTGACTATATATAACAGCATTAATAAAAGGCAGGTCAAAGCCCAACAGTTATATGAATAATCTTCTCTTTTCCGTCCATAATCACGCTGACAAATATCGTGTTTTTGTTGGTCTAGCCTTATTTTAGCACGTTTTATTCAAAAACATCATGTTAACCATCTTATTTGGTCAATAATCACCGCCCACAAATAACTTTTTTGAATAACATGTTTAATAATAATACCAAAATAAGGTTGGAAAAAAAAAAACTCAAACAAAGTAAGCTTGATTAATAATAACATCAAAAGTCAGAACTTAATACTGCTGACATATAACAACCTATTAATCAATGACAAATAAAAAACTTTAATTTTCTCCCAGAGGTTTAAATTCTGAAAAAGGAGCATACAACATGGACTTTCTTTAACGAAATTTTAATCAAGAAATAAATCCACCGGCAAAATTTGCACGATTGCAGTTTTTGTCAAACTAGAGTATACAGGTCTTTGACATTTGTAGAAGTCTAAAAGAGCCATTCCTACTTATCATAATTATGAAAAGGAAAAATATGAAAACTGATAGACTAACTCATCTCACTTATTATCTACCATCTACTTTGACATAAAAGGAGCGAAAATAAGTTAGTTGTTCTTGGGAACCCCAAGCCTCAGACGGAAATCCTCTTCCATAAGAGGAAGACCATCTCGCAGCTTAACCTTTGGTTCCCAGCCAAGCAATTCTTTTGCCTTTGTTATGTCAGGCTTTCTCTGTCGGGGATCATCAGGAGTGTTATCCACTGTCTTAATCTCCACATTTGGATTAATAAGCTGCAAATCAACAGCAAAAGCATAAATTTTAAAAGTATTCTCTTACAAATCCATTAATCTAGATGCCATGCATTAGTTTTATATTGTACACACTTGCTTGTAAATCAGAATATTTGCTATAATTGGTTTCCACTTTATTGTGTACAAATTAGAATTTGATTGCATATAATCATGATAATGTTCCCTGATTTAGGAGGTAAATTAGGAATTAGAATATTTTTATCTAATGGTTGCAAATATGTCTTCTCTATTTATGAGAAACTCAGAGTGCAAACAGACCATTAAAGCCAAATTTTGACAATGCAGTCTTCCCCAGAGTGAAAGCTCCCTCTTAGATAGGTAATTAAGTATTATATCACACTTTACTACTCATAAATTTTCAGCTTAAAACTAATGGGTGTATGAACCAAACTATGAGATTGAGAGGTGAGAAAACTATAAAAGCTTTGAACTGACCTCCTTCACCGTCTCAGCAAGTTCCAGCATTGTAAATTCACCTGAAAAAGCAGAGGCTTGAACAGTTAGAGACAGGAAAATAAATCAAGGACATTTTCACAATTGTAAAAAAGGTTAACATACTTAAAAACCGGCCTAGCAATAGAAATCTAACCTGGGTTTCCAAGGTTGATTGGCCCAGTGTCCGACCCGTCCATGAGACGGATAAGGCCATCAACCTATCACAATTAACATAATCAGCTTACTAAATACTAATAGCAACTCAATGAAACAAAGATGCAAATGGGATATATATACCAAATCAGAGACAAAGCAGAAACTGCGAGTTTGTGTTCCTGGAGACTGGACCGTCAAGGGTTCACCACTAAAACACACCAAAGACAGTGAGAAAACTGACAGATAAACTGATAAAGCATCAATTTTGAAATGGGGAGAAGACAGAAAAAGAAGTCACAGTCAGTCAACAAAATCAAGGTATTGAAGTAATTTAATCAGTAACTGATGCAAGTGAAAAGCATGACCCATTGCACGCATCACGCATTCTATTAAAGGCCTGAATGCTGGAACCAAAACCATTATTAACAGATCAAACAAGGCATGTCGAAATAACATTACAGCATATAAACTACAAAGAATAAAGTTCTAATTACCGAAGAGCTTGAGCAATGAAGTTGCTGACAACACGTCCATCATCAATATTCATGCGTGGACCATATGTGTTAAAGATTCTTGCAACACGTATTTCTATGTTGGAAGAATACAAAAAGCACAGTTAAATTGCAAAGAAAAATTTCTACCACCAGCTATACCTTACAAAGGAGGCAATTATGAAGAAACCAGAAATTACCTATTCCATGCTGCCTATGATAATCAAACATCAAAGTCTCAGCAACACGCTTCCCCTCATCATAGCAACTACGAACTCCTATTACAAACACGTAATCAAGTGCTTAGACTACTTTTACATAAAAATTGAATTCAAAGAATTTCTTTGCCTCAAAAAGGTCAACCTTGCATCCAGAAGCTAATGCTTATGTGAACAAGAAATGTCTCACATACACAGACACACACTTTCAATGCTTTTACCTTCTTAAGTCCATAACTAACTACCTATTCCTTGGTTTATACAGTGAAGATATCTTTCAGTCATAGCAGAAAATATAATTTCATTTAAGAAGCTCAAGGCACAGATTGAGACAGAGATAAAAGCATGTACCAATAGGGTTCACATTGCCCCAATAGCTTTCAGGTTGGGGATGCTCAAGAGGATCCCCATATACCTCTGATGTTGATGTAAGTAAAATCCTGCCAATAAAATAACAACTAAGACTATACCAAAAGGAAAAAGGAATTAAGACCAACAGGTACTAGAAGATAATTTGCCAACCTTGCCCCAACTCGCTTTGCAAGCCCAAGCATGTTCAGTGTGCCAATCACATTTGTCTTTATTGTCTGTAAAAAATATTATTTCCTAACATATTATATAGTCTCTCAAGGATCAGCAGAAAGACAGAACTTTCAGGCAATGATACATGACAGAAGTAGAATAAATATGCCACTGTATGTATGGGGTTCTATATACTCAAATATAAAGTGGCTAATGTCCGTGATTATGTAATGAATATTAAAAGCCAAACCTTGCAGTTGGGAAAAATATGTCTGCACACCAAGCAAAAGATAAAGAAACAGAGACAGGATAAAACTCAATTATACCTTCACAGGATTATATTTGTAGAAAATAGGAGACGCGGGGCATGCAAGATGGTAGATCTGATCAACCTCAATCATCAAAGTTTCGGTGACATCTACAAAGGGATCACAATGATAAAGCGTATCAGCATCATTGAT